ATATATATATATATATATATATTTGTATTAAATTGTATTTATCTTATAAAGTTGAAAAATATAAAAAAAACTCATGACTTCAAAAATATAAAACGTAAAAATCAATACACACACACACACACACACATATATATATATATATATATATATATATATATATATATATCTTTTCTAGAAGACATGTAATAATTATAGAAAAGAATAAAGTTTTTAGTTACCCGAATGCAGGTAAAAATATGTGGTCATGTAGGACCTTCCAGAAGAATATTGGTATAAGAAATAGATTTTTGCTAAAAAAGAGTACTTATGTTTTATATGAATTTCTCAAATATTATTAAATTTATATTTTCAAATAAACAAGATAATATTATTTAATTATGCATATTAAGGATAGGCTATAGATGTCAAATAGATGAACGTAGAATAAATTACAGCTATACTCAACTAATTCAAGGTTGTTTATTTTTGCGGTGAAAAACAAATATACAGTGACAAAAAGGGTTCATCGTTTGAGAGATTAAATTGATTTTTAAATCTATTTGATATAGTTTTGTTGGCCATGTTATGTTGGTATGTAGGGTTCAAAGCATTGTTTAATATGTTGTAATTATTTATAAATGTTTAAATTAACTAAATAATACTTGATTAAATATTATTTTCGAGCTTTCGAGATATAAAATGACCAATAAGTATTGTAACATGCTAAAAATACTTTACATACCAGATATATTTCATTTATAATAAATAATTTATCATTTCTCAAACTTACATGACATATGTTCGTGATCCACGCATTCAAAAAATGAATGGAAAAAACTATCAATGGACATGACCACTGGCTGATCAAATGGCATATCCTCTAAAGTAACCTCCCACTTCTTAGATATCAATTTTATTGCTTTAATTTATTGTGAATTCGTCACTTTTCACGGATGTGAGCAAGCCGATGAAGACCCAGAAAAACAAAATAAAAAAAAAAAATAAAAGAGGGAGGAGCAAACTTTGCATTGAACATCCCTCGGCTCTAATAAATATTAATTCCCACTAGATTAGTGCAAGACATCATATTTTCTAGAGTCATCCTCCACTTGAATTTAGGTGCTCCATCTTTACCCACTACGTTAATTGATATATTTTTCTCATTGCACCCCCACTTTAACAGACTAATATATACAATTTAATGGCTCCCATATGATCTTATGGCTGGACGTGAAACGCGCAGGCCCTCTCCCCCACAAGCACGAGTGTGTTGTGTTCGAGTGACTTTTTGACTTTGGCAAGTCTATTTTATCAGAAATCCACGATATATACACATAATTTGAGGGCTTCCCTTGGATTGTCAGTGAGGAAGCTTGTTCCAGCAATGGCAGGAATGCTCTTTCGGTTTCTTGTAAGCTTTTTGTTGATTTCTAACCTTGTTTATGGGAGCAATTCAATCTCAACAAGGAGTATGTCTTGAATACCTTTCTTAACACCTTCATTTGTTTTGTTTTTTTTCATTTTTTTCTCTTAATACGATAATTCTTCTTGATAGTGATGTGTTGTTTTATTTCTCCAGGAACTGGACGTCAGGTGCATGGTCATGATCAAGTTCGTCCGATTCTCGAGGACACCCACCTGGTAACAAAATATATAATTCTAGATTTCCCTACAGCTAAGATCATGATGCTTGATTTTACCATCCCAATAATCTCAACTCCATTTTGTTCATGAATATCAATCCATCCGCTGACAGGTACTCCAGAGCAAGAAGAAGGATCACGATGAACATATCGCGCATGGAAGAAAGATTGTAGAACTCAACGATTATCCTGGATCTGGAGCCAACAATCGTCACACTCCAAGACCACAATTTGGCAGATGTGTTGATTGTTAGCTTCTCAAATATTAAAGGAGTGCACTTCAGTTATGGTTCAGTTATTGTAGGTGTGGATGTGGATGTATCATATAACAGTATTTAGCTGATGACTAGGTCCAGATAGTATGGAAGTCATATAATTGTTTTCCCTTGGCTGCTCAAATAGAGACTTATTGGCAACTTTTTTGTTTATTTCTTTTAAAAGTAAATTATAATAATTCCCTGAGTTTCTGTCAAACCATCTAAAACTTTGAAGATTAGTGATGAAACTAGATTTTGCCAATATCTTTTCATTTTTTCTTCAAAAAATCACAATAAAACAGAAACGACATGAGTTTAGTACCTGAGCATAGCAATATACCAGCCTAGACGCAACTTAGATCAGGCACCTACTAGATCCGATAGCTTAGCCTATCGCACTACCAGGCCACTAAGGTGGGTCTATCGTGTGTTATCTTGATGTTGAGCTTCAGGACTTCTCGAGGATTTTTTTCATCGCACCTCGGGTATAGTTAGATTCATTATACCCATGTATTCAAAAATATACTTGAATATAATAACATCAATTTTATATATTTTTACGTAAAATATTATATGAATTATTTCTCAGCAAATATACTAAATTAAACAAGTCTACATTCACTAATACTATTAGGTGTATTAAAGTCTCTCATGACCTACAATTTCTCATCCTTATGTTGGATCAAATGAGTGGAATATAGCTCACAATACAACTTAAAATATCATAAAAGTGGAATTACACTCCAACTCCTTCTCTCTACAGAAAAAGACTCATGAGCTATAAATACATCATAAATCATTTAAAATAAAGGTTCACAATCTTCTTTCTCTACTACATATATATTTGAGAGCATCTCTCTCTAGAATATTATTGTATTTTCATTCTCTAAGAAGATACTTACTTAAACATCTGAAAGTTCACACATTCACAACAAGTGATCTTTTGCAAGTACTAACTACAAGCCACCTTAACCTACCAAATACAATCTATTAATCATTTTGGTTAAGGAGAATGGATGAGATTGCAAAAACAATTGATTAACTGATTATCCAACTTGGGAGCCCTATTTTTAAGCTACTTAGATTTTTAGGGCTTCATCAATGACATTGTCTATAGGGATAGTGATCAAAAAGCTATCGATTTCTTTTTAAAACTTGCTTTTGACATTTCTATGCCATTACATGACATATATAACCAATACTCATCTAGGCTAAGATGCGGGATAAGTCAACTCGTTGCCACAGACACTCTTACCTAACCTGAGCTTCAACAACACACTACTCAAGTGATGGTTAAAGGTCCTTCAACACTTATCCTAAGAATGCGCATTTCTCCTAGGAAAGGATGGATTTGGTTTCTCCAATGTTATATACATCACTCTTCAATGGATGCACTTAGTTTTTCTAGTGTTATATGCACCACTCTCCATAAGATGAATAAGATATCTCCCTAGTATAATAGCAACATCATCAAATCATCAATCTTTAGTAGGAGGGGCTCTCACGCCTTAAAAAAAATAATTCATGGTGACCACTTTTCATTTGAGGGCTTTTAAGCCTTATGACAATGTTAGGACTCTTACCGGCTCTATGAGTTCTTAAACATAACTCGTTGAAAGAATCTTTACTTTACAATAGAATACTGAACACAACTTTTCAAATATTGTGTTTCTATGAATACAACCCTGACAACTATAAAGGATTCATAAACTCCCAAAAACGCATACATAATGTAAAATGCATCTTAAAGCTTGTCACACAAGATGATGTAATGTGTAAAATTCTTCAACAATGCTTTGTGGATATGCTCATGTATAGTACCATAGCCTAGATTCTAGCTCTATCCTTTATTTTTATGATATTGACTCCAAACTTGCATATCACTTCAGTACAAGTATTCCATCTAAAGAAAGCACCATTAGGCTCTTCACCATTACACAACAAAAAGATGAGAGCACTAAAACATATCTTTAAAGGTTCAACAAAGAAATACTCAATGTAAAGGGACTCTTTGAACTCATCATCATACAAACTCTAATTAGTAGAGTATATAATTATTTCCTATAGAAGGTTATACAGTCTCCCTAATAGAAATCTCTTCAATATTAAATAGACCATGAAAAATTATATAATGGTGTAAAATGTCAGCATGATCAGACAAGGTTACCATGTTTCTACTAAGAAAAATCTTTCTAATATCAACAACCTCCAACTAAAGCATTTAAAATGAGCATCGAGAGACACATTTATGATTGCCTTACATTCTTCAAGCTCCATATTACCCTTCTAACCATTATATGGATTGAGGTGCTAACTGTTATCAAAAAGAGAATTTATGCAATATCGTTTTCCCATTAAAAGTAATGTGAACACAAGAAAACCTAATAAATTCTATATTTTTCACAATGATTATAGACATGACACTAAGGAATATTACATTCTGAAAAAAAGATAGAAAGATTGGTTGCCAAAAGCTGCCTTCACTTATTCATGAAAAAAAAAAAAGCCAGAACAAGGAAGGAAAGATGTCTGCACAGTTGATAAGCTACCTAATATTAAATCGTTCTAGAATTATCTTCAATAATTATATCTCTATTTTTTGAACTTTTCAATAAAAATAGTAATTTCTCTTCATGTCTTTAATAGAAATCTTTGTTAAAATCTCTAAACATATCTCTATAAAAAATCTATATGGTGAGATTTTCATGTCTCCACATATGTCCCTATTGAATGTTTATGCGTATCTTGAATATCCCTAAAATAATCAAGGATTCTTCTTAAGGTTTCCGCAACTATTTATCTTTAAAAGGATCATAGATCATTCTCCAAGTCTTTATGACCAGTGTTAATAAAGTTACAAGGAGAACCCTCATGTAGACACGTTCATAATACATAAAGAGGTAACATTTGCATGCACGTATAACCGCAATAGGAAATATTTATATTGTAAGTATTTTTTTTCCTCCATTTCTACTAGTTAGGTTTTTCAAACACATATTTTAAAAGACTCGGGGAAAAGATATATAAGTTATTAATCATTTTGGTTAAGGAGAATAGATAAGATTGCTAGGACCAATTGATTAACTGATTATCCAACTTGGGAGCCTTATTTTTAAGCTACTAAGATTTTTAGGGCTTCATCAATGGCATCGTCTGTACGGATAATGATCAAAAAGCTATCGATTTCTTTCTAAAACTTGCTTTTGGCATTTCCATGCCATCACATGACATATATAACCAACATTCATCTAGGTTAAGATACGGGACAAGTCAACTCATTGCCACAGACACTCTTACCCAACCTGAGCTTCAACAACTCATTACTCAAATGATGGTTAAAGGCCTCTCAACACTTATCCTAAGAATGCGCATTTCTCCTAGGAAAAGATGGATTTGGTTTCCCCGACATTATATACATCACTCTTCAATTGACACACTTAGTCTTCCTAGTGTTATATGCACCACTCTCTAAGAGATGAATCAAAGATCTCCCTAGTACAATAGCAACATCATCAAATCATCAATTTTCAATAGGACGGGTTCTTATGCCTTATAAAAAAAAATCATGGTAACCACTTTTCATTTAAGGGCTCTTAAGCCTTATGACAATGTTAGGACTCTTAGCGGCTCTTTGAGTTCGTAAACATAACTTGTTGGAAGAATCTTTACTTTATAATGGAATACTAAACACAACTTTTCAAATATTGTATTTCTATAAATACAACCCTAGACAACTATAAGGGATTCACAAACTCCTAAAAACGCATACATAATGTGAAATGCATCTTAAAACTTGTCACACAAGATGATGTAATGTGTAAAATTCTTCAACAATGCTTTGTGGATATGCTCATGTATAGTACCATAGCCTAGATTCTAGCTCTATCCTTTATTTTTATGATATTGACTCCAAACTTGCATATCACTTCAGTACAAGTATTCCATCTAAAGAAAGCACCATTAGGCTCTTCACCATTACACAACAAGAAGATGAGAGCACTAAAGCATATCTTTAAAGGTTCAATAAAGAAATACTCAGTGTGAAAATACTCTTTGAACTCATCATTATATAAGCTCTAATTAGTAGAGTATATAATTATTCCTTATATAAAGGTTATATACTCTCCTTAATAGAAATCTCTTCAGCGTTAAATAAACCATGAAAAATTATGTAATGGTGTAAAACGTCAGCATGATCAGACAAGGTTACCCATGTTTCTACTGACAAAAATCTTCCTAATATCAACAACCTCCAACTAAAGCATTTAAAATGATCACCAAGAGACACATTTATGATTGCCTTACATTCTTCAAGCTCTTCAAGCTCTATATTACCCTTCTAATCACCATATGGATTGAGATGCTAGCTGTTATCAAAAAGAGAATTTGTGCAATATTGTTTTCCTATTAAAAGTAACATGAGCACGAGAAACCCTAATAAATTCTATATTTTTCACAATGATTATAGACATGACATCGAGGAATATCACATTCTGAAAAGAAGATAGAAAGATTAGTCACCAAAAGCTACCTTTACTGATTCATGAAGAAAAAAAAAACCAGAACAAGGAAGGAAAGATGTTTGTACAATTGATAAGCTACCTAAGATTAAATCATCCTAGAATTATCTTCAATAATTGTATCTCTATTTTTTGAACTTTTCAATAAAAATAGTAATTTCTCTTCATGTCTTTAATAGAAATCTTTATTAAAATCTCCAAACATATCTCTATAAAAAATCTCTATGATGAGATCTTCATGTCTCCACATATGTCCCTATTGAATCTTTATGTGTATCTTGAATATCCCTAAAACAATCAAGGATCCTTCTTAAGGTTTCCGTAACTATTTATCTTCAAAAGGATCATAGATCATTCTCCAAGTCTTTGTGACCAGCGTTAACAAAGTTACAAGGAGAACCCTCATATAAACATGTTCATAATACATAAAGAGGTAACATTTGCATGCATGTGTAACCATAGCAGGTAATATTTATATTGTAAGTTTTTTTCCCTCATT